TTCCCAAAGGACTCCTGCTACCGAATACCGATAAATGCTCCAGTATACACAGACATACACTGTCTTTCAGGCTCAGGAGAATGTTTATGCAAAATTTTCAGGAATGTCAAAAACTGGCCAGACTTTCCCATTTTTCCGTAGACCTAGTCTTCAAAAATGGTTATGTACGCGGGCATTCCGCGTCAAAATAACTAAAAAAACCACCCTTTCAAGAAGCAGTTTGTTGTAGAATGTGTTGCAATAAATCTTAGGCATATTCGTTTGCGACTTAAGCTGTGGACATTCGTTTTTATTGGCAACGTGTTAACATACTTCGGTGATTCTAGAACCATGACCCAAGCATACAGCTGCATAAAAAAGAATGTACATTAACTCACTGTTCCGGTAAAATTGTTAAGGAAATATCTTAGTTTGAAGGATATGATAGGCACATAGAATAGAATCGTTATTCATAGACCATCGAGTGAAACTATTGCAAACCGTCAAGTGCTCACCACTATTTAGAGAATGATCTGACAAACGTCGATATCGAACACCATAAATACAAAGGATTGTTAGGTAAGATAATTACGCACTACAAAAATACTACGTTTACAATTGCACTTAACAATTTCATTTGAACCTTTGAGTTATTTTTCGGCAGGCCCACATGTGGGCTTGCAAAATATTTTACTCTTGTCATTTTTTCTTCGGCACTATCCAGCTAAATTCTGATTGCGTTAGTCCAAATTACTTCAAATAATTTATAAAAGGAAGAAATGACTCGCAATTCTCGTCAACTCATGCTGGAATATAGACTCGAAATTTGGGCTGCTTCGTAATATCAGTACCTCACACCACATTTTATATCAAAATCGTTATTTACAAAAAGCGTAAAAGGGGGCTTTTTCAGATTAAATTCGAGTTGTGATGCCTTATCCCCCCTTTTTTCCTGAAAAGTATTCATCTACGCTTTAAAATTAAGTTTACTTGGCAACTCAGATTTTTCTTTTTTCTGAATTTTCCGCCTTTCTAAGAAAAGTATTATTTCTAACCAACGTTATTGCACTTGTAAATTTCCCTCGATTTCATTAGTTAAGACAGGTGCTGTACCATTTTTCAAAAATATTGTCCTTTTGCACCCTGAAATTATGCACCCAAAGAAACACGCAAGCAAATTCACTTACTTCTTCCGCTGACGCTGCGCTATGCACCACAAATATACGAATCGACGGAAACTGGCTAATTAGTATCAAATGTCCATAAAAACATCACATTCGAAATATAACAAACAATATGGCTGCCATTTGCAACGCAACTAAATTTTACTACTAAAACTTGCGAAGTAATTCGGTCAGTATCCATGCCGTTGACTGAGTAGTCAACCAGTTTGATGTTCCACCCTTTGGAAACAGTGACCAATTCGAACATGGACAGCGACGATTCTTAATTTTAACTAGCTGTACAAAGTTAAACCTACATAATGTTCCAGGCGTCCGATTTGCTCCATTGTTTTACTATAATTTACTATGCGCGGACTAGGCCAATTTGTATATTATATCCGTACAGGTGTATTGCACAGTAAAAATCGCGCATAAGGTTTGGTTAAAAGTGAATCACCAACCAATTAGGTTGCGAAATACAGAAAGTTTATTGCTGAATATTTAATTTGAAAGAACTTATCTAGCTTTTAGAAACTGCAAGCAATTTTGAGTCACTCTGTAAATAAACTAACCCTGTCTGTGAAGGTCGCCACCTTTCTCGTATGCCCAACATGCATGAAAGAAATAATGCCGGCTGGCATTGGTTACGCGAGCTCTCTTTCAAATATGTGGCTATCAGTCGGGTCGAAAGTTTGCTGAAAGCCTGCGCGTTCAAAGACTTGAACAAACACAATAAGCTGTGAACAAACAAACAAACCCGTGCCCTTTGAACAGATTCACGAGGTCTTACTATGCCTAGAACGGCAGGATTCCATATCAGTAAACTATTGTCTAGACTGCCACTATGCTCGGTGCCAAAATTAACTGTAGAGTGAACGAATGTCAGACAAAACAAGATATTGCGAAGTAATTGAACATACCGGATATAGAATGGAAATGGAGACCAACTTAATCGAATAGTAGTCATCATAATGCTAATAAGCGCACAAAGTTTATACGTGTTGATGAGAAAATGTGGTTGTATGGAGGCGTTATCTTGAGCCAACATAAAGGGTTGTGATTAATCCGCCAACTAAGAAATTAAAATGGCGTAAAACCCGCGATTGAATTTTCCTTTATCTACCATAATAATCGTCTGTAGCCTCAAAAAGTTATTATACAAACCTTGTCAAGGTAGATGTTCAGTAGGTCGTAAGTTTCTCTTTTTAGAAGGCAGAATTTGACACCCTCGACAACTTATGATTTTCTTGAGCATGGTCATGTTTTGCGAAACACTTAAGAATAAAAATGTTGTCAAATATGTTGAAGAGCATATCATGTATTCCTTTAAACTGTTCGTCGATTCCGCGGAAACAAACCTTTCGAGGGTGGCTGATTTTACTTTGCCTATTATACTACTCTGGTATTTATTCTACTTACTTCAAAAACTAAAAGTTGTTGGTTTCCGAATTTTTATAATGGAAAATTATTGTCCCATATAATTTGCGTTTAGAATTTCCCCTTCTGAAAAATAACTTAATATCCAGTCTTTCGATCTTGGGAGTCATTTACGTAAATTTTACCTAAAGTCTGTTTAAAACACATTTAATGCGTCCGAAAAATTAGCTAAGTTTTAATTCCTTTGGAAATCATTGCACGAATTTGAACTCCAAACCTTAGAACAAAGCTTTCTAGCCTCCATCTGAAGGTGGCTATAAGAAGTCACGATTAAATCTGTCATATGATTTAATGTAGCCACGTAATATTCTCAAGCCGCCAAATGTTGGTCAATGACATACAAATATCGAATGATACACCACATGCGCAGCATATTTAAGGAGCAGGACACGTCAGGGGACCCCCTGATTTTCAAAATATGTCGGCGCAAAATAGGTAAATTAAAGGCGGCTGGGCATTTAGGTCGTACCTATGTCATTTCTACAGCAGTCCATTCTATATTTGTATAGCAATGACTGCCTGTTGTTTGGGAATCTGTAAACATTTCGCAGTTATTCCACAAAAGCTAATAGTTTTGAGTTCAAATAGCTAGTAGCGTATCTGGAACCGAGCCAGAACACTTTATTCCAAGGGTTATATTTCACGTCCCGAGGAAATTAAAAGGTTGAAATGACGCTCTTGTCAAATACTAAGTTAAATGTTTTGCTTGTCGTCATTAGATTGTGAAAGTAAAAGTCAACTTGCACACTTCTCTGACTTTGAGTTGGTTTTTATGTTGAAGCGTTATTAAAACAAATCTGTCGCTATAAGAATTTTCAGAAACCTTAAAAATTATAAAATAGTTAGCATGTGAGTATGTTCCTATGTTTGCTTTTTTTACAAAAAAGAGCAACTACTGGAGTTGATTTTCCACTTCGTAGTTCTTCAATTATGAACAATATGTGTTACAGCATTGGAAATTATATATCAGTGGGAGGTGTGGGATGTCGGTGACTTGTAACCACCATCAAGACAAGATGTTCACTACATGTAGTCATAGTTGTAATTCCTGCATATATTATTCTCAGGACTCACTATACGCCCTAAGGGGTGCAAAGCAAAATTGGACGATATTAGTTACTGACAGAGTGAAAAACTTAGCCCTAATTGGTGTCAATATGCAGTCTCTAGTGTTAATTCGAAGTTCAGCTTAATTTCAGCACAAACTCCTTCCCGAATTGTCTTCTTATCAACCACAAGGATAGGTTTTTTTCAGCAGTTGATTTTGGAATAAGTATTAATCAAGACACTTCTGCCCCAGGTATCACAGTTAACCCTTTTTAAGTAATTATTGCACTACTAGTCCTCCCCATTTAAGCGGCGTTTGGGTTATTATCTTCGCAGTCTCATCTACTTGTAACTTTCTGTTTCTAAACACTAAATAGTTGACCTTGGATGTCCAGGTGGATGGCTGATGTCAAATACATTTACATGCCCCAATGAAACGTAATCCACTCTGGACAAAGTAATATTACTAATGATATAACAAATTCTAAATTGAAGTCAATTTAAAATTGCTGGCCGATCAAATAACCGATTAGTCTCTATTGAAAACCGAAAATTAAAAGCATCCGTCCATATAGTGTGTTGTGTGTTTCTTAGCCATCTTGTTATTTAACTGCTAGGCGAAAGTGAAGACATAATTCTGGATATATTTGTGGTCAAAATAATAACGAACAGACGAAGTCAGTAAAGCAGTATATTTGTTTTATTTCATTTGAAATCTTTCTATCTGATGTCCACATTTTTTTTCTGGGTAAGTTCTGGGCTCACATGTGTTCTAAGTATGCTCCAAGTGTTGTTTGATTACTTTGCGGGATTCAACAAAAAAAAATATTTTAAACGTTCGCTTGCGAAGTTGGGTGCTTTCGAGGAACCGAAGGAATCCTCTGTCGAAGGAAGGACCTTTTAGAAAATACTACCTAAAATACATACTACGAGAGCGTCACGCAACTGAAGTTTATCAGTGCATTTTTACTTAATGAATGGATATCAGGTGGCTTCAAGTGCAAACGCGTTTAAAGCCAACTTCTTGTCATTCGCTCAGCGCTTTTATTTCTTTGCCGTATTGCCAGTTTTTTTTTAAAAAATACTTGGCAGTATTAGTTCCTGCCTACATGTCAAATAAGGCTCTATGCTTGGGGTACCCACTTACAACATCTTCTCCCTGTTTACGGGGGTTAAAAGCAGCATACTATCAACCTATAACATTCTTCCCTCAACGCCAGGGAGTTGTACTCGATGTGATTGGTGCAGCTGCTATAGCCAAATGGCTGTCTGAATTTGAGGTTCAGACACGGTATAAAAACCCATAATCGAAAACCCGACACCACACGACAGTAGAAACCCGACAGAGTAGCAGGCGTTCTTTGAGGGTACACCATGTCCACAACATCGTCAAACGCAGTACATTTGATGAATACTGTCTCCACGCATGAGCAGGTGTCGGAGAATTTGTACCACGAAAATGCTAAGCAGTGCCGAAGCTGCCCACGACGAACAAGACCCGGGAACCGTCTGGGAAACCTGCTGGTTGGATTGGCGCCCATTCTTCTTCTGATAGGGAACATGATGGGGATTTGTGAAGGTATGCAAAAGCTGACCGACCTGTACTGGTATTATTTTGGTTTTTGTTTTCATCTTATTGATCTACAGACCTATGTATCTTCTTCCTGCTAAGGTGGCAGTTGTTTCAGACTGCGTCTACCATCTGGCATATGTCACAGACTGATTGGCAAAAATGATGTATCTCGTGAGGAATGCTGCGATCTCGGGGGTTTCTTCGTGTCCGAGTGGATTACTGAAGAGCAGTACGTACGTGATATGTTACTCGGCAGAGAGGGTATTATGGGATGCGAATATGCCTGCTCCGACCGTGAGTTAACCCCAGCATGGCAAAGTTTCATACTGTTACTTATTTTAATGCAATTTCGAAAATTACCGAACGTTATCCGGCTCCATGATGACCCCATGCACGTTTTAATTTATCAAGTGTTGAAGCTGAGTTCATTGGTATCTCGATAATCTTTCTATGGTCATGATTTGCAGTACGTATCAATACACTAAGGCGTGTAGAAAAATTTGAACATGAGCTCTTTCTCCTAGCGTTAGGAGATATAATACCTGCTTTAAATCCTACATCGCATGGTTTAGATATTTTTATGTTGTCAATTTAAATTTATTATTTACGCTTGAGTGCTGTTTCCTCGATATTTTAAGAAACATATAAAATGTATTCAGTTACTGAGCAAATAAGGAAGGAACGTCATTTTATTCTCTTGGTTAAACGCCGCACTGCATCCATTTTAGGTCACTTATGATTGGTCACTTGACTAATCTCCTGATAAACACAGCTCTGGCATAAGCCGTGAAACAGGTACAGCTTTTGCGCATTAATGTGGTTATGGCAGAGAAGTAACTGGGTTCCTTGCAGGCAGTATTGCTGATCCAACAAAATATCATTTTATTCAACACACAGCATTATTTCTCTTCGTACTTCTGAAAGGAACCTACGAAACCTGTCAAAACATCACATGCGACGCTGGGTACAAATGCACTATCCAGGGGCATCGAGCAGTCTGTGAATGTTCCACCGAATGCACGGCTCTGGAATACTTGGATGGTCCAGTGTGCACAACGGACTTTAGAAGATTTAGAAACCGCTGCGATTTTATTCGTGAACGATGCAGAAATCAGAATCAAATGCTTGAAGAGGCCGTCTGCCCGCCGGATAAGAGCGTCTGTTGGCCAGCGAGACGTTACAATGCCCCTGATAGCAAATTCGCCTACGCTGGAATGAGCGACGTCGAACTGGGTCAACCATCGGGAGGACATTTAGTGAGTACTCGTCTGTATGTCAGGTCTTTATATTTGTAAAAATGTATAATGCTCTAGGCTTAAGGCCAGAAATTGTGTTTTTGCGTGTTTATTTGCCATGACTTCAGCAGGTTCCTTATATATAAGCAAGAAAACAGTCTTAGATTGGCAATTAACTCTTCAAAATTAGTCAGTCATTTAGAAATGTCTAAAACCCTCTAGTGTTGTGTTATAAACTTGTGTCCGGGTGTACAACTCGGTCTTAGAAATGCCAAACAGTTAGTAATCTCCTATGTCAAAATCTTTTGGATATGTTGATGCAGGTTCACCGATAGCTAAAGGAACTCATTCGTCCCGCCCTGGCTTTTGTGTCCTTTCTCGAGCAGCCGCATAGCGGCAAGTAGTCTAGGCAGATAGTGTTGCCAACAAAGACAATGGGGACTGGAGTGGACATTTCTGACTTATGAGCCATCGTCAGCCAGTCAGTACCAACCATAAGTTCTGTGCAACAGAAAACTTGGGCTCCCAACCTTTTGGATCAAATGTCTAACGTTCTCATCATTGAGCTGCGGGCTCGTCGGCTTTGTTCGGGAAATACTGGCACTCCTTGGCGAACTTTTACGGGACGCTTATGTTTTTGGTTTGATGTACGGTCAACAGGGCGACCTTCCCCCACCAACGGCATAAAAATAAATTAAGTCTTAGTTCAGTTAAACGAATCAGTTCAGTCAGCCTAAAGACAAAATGCCCGGTCATACTAAAAGTCCTAATTTAAGACCTGCAAACCCACCACTGCGATAGATAATGATGGGCCTTATTAGTGACAGAGCCACCACTTTATTGAAGACTTGCACAGTATTGTGTAATAGGAAGCCATTTATGATGATAATGAACCAAAATCCTGGCTGCTCTAGCATATATATCTATAGTGAGGTCGTCAAAGGAAACGTTATAAGGAAATCTTGGAGCTAACTTTTTGCGTTCTCGTCCATTGTTGAGAGTCCATTTATGGCTTTTCACTGGGGCATATTAAAATTGGTCTCAGATTGTCTAGTCGGCCAAGATTTCAAGTTTAATCTGTGTTTTTGTTGGCGAGGACTTTGCAGTTACCTTCATTCTCCTAGCGTTTAGTCCACCTACTGAAAATAAAGGCAATACATCGCTCAATTTTGAACTGTGACAAGAGAACATGCTTGCCATATCTGTAGTGATCTTTAACTGACTGCTCGGTCAGCTATTGCAGCTGTATTCTTGCAATGTTCTAGAAGGTCTGCTCGAGGTCTCAAGTCTGCCTCATTCGGCTGTACAGTGGAGAGGCAGGCTGTGAAGAGCCAAACTGGCTGGGACCAACACAGACTACATTTGGCCTTTCTGACCTCGATTTTGGTAGCCCCACAGAAGACTTCTCCGAGTGCACCAACGACCAGTTCGGGGTGCCTCTCTGTGCCACCAATAATCAGACCTACAGGAACCAGTGCGAACTCAGAAAGGCCAGCATACGACGTGGTATGGAAATCCGAATAGCCTATCTGGGAGCTTGCAAAGGTAAGTACGGTACTTCTACTAATAGAAATAAATATGCCGTAGTAGGCAATGGTCAGGCGGTAACTTAAAGACGCTGATGTATTTGCAGGTAGTTTCGGTGTTGCTCGCCTTTACTGAAAAAAAAGCGTCCAAACAAAGTAAGAAATGGCCAAACACTGCATTTTGGCAGTAGTAGTTTGAGTAGTGCACCCAATATACCTTTAGTTCAAGCAATTTGCCCTATGGAAACGGTGGTTATAGGGTTTTGTGGGTGAGGAATAAGGATAGGCAGTTAAATATATGCAAAGAACTGTCAAATGTGTCCTTAGTTTACTGTTTTTAGAAACGTCGATGATTTATCTCTGTAGATTTTTGTAATCTTTAACGTACTGCGGGAAAACCCAATTATCAAAATGCTCGTTTTTCGACATTCCTGAAGAAATGTAAATGGGGGGTTATGAGGGCATCTTACCTGATGTCCAACGTCCCGTTTTGGAGTTAGATTTGTATATTTCGTGGCGCAAAGTGCAGCGCATACCTTCGATTTGCATGCGGAACAACTTACTTCCAGCGGCTGCGGGATACAAATTTAACTACAGGCTTTCACTTTAAACTTACTTCTACAAATCTCGTTTGCTGCCTATCCTATTGACCGCCCACAAAACCCCTATAACCACCGTTTCCGTAGGATAACATGTTGGGACTAGGGCTAGATGAGGTGCACTAATTAAACCTACCTTATCCTAAAAATTTGTGTGGGTTATATATGGGAATAGTCCTTGCTTGATCAGGGCGTAACTTTACGGAGAATTTGGATCTTTTATAATAAAAAACACTACTCTAGATGTAGTCTTCAGCATTCGGGAAAGATAATATGTGAATACGTTAGGGTTAAATCGTCGATTTCTAGTCTCAGTGAAAGCAATTCGCCTCTCAATTCAGGAAGCCTGAACTGTAATTAACTGCCGAGCTTTCTATTTGCCTCCTAGATGGAGAAATCAGGCAGTCGTGTTTGCATTTTTCTCATGGCGTGAAATCGAATAGGCATGGACA